TCAGATATCCATTATCTATCACTTCTGCCTGTAAAATGATACATTTAAGTTTATAAGTTCTTCTAGCTCAGCATAGCTTCTGGTGTTCTTTCCTGATACGCTGTTGCAAAAAAAACCACCAAACAAAACACCCAATGTTGTCATTTTTTTTCTCCTGGTCCCTCAGGTTTCAATGGATTTGACAAGCCCCCCACTACCTCTAAGAGACAATGGTTTTGTGAGTATTTCCTGATGGGAATAAAATGTGTATTTGATATGTATCTCTGCATGAAGGTTTGTTCTAGGACTGCTAAGTCTGTCTCACCTTCCTCCACCCTTTAGTACCTGGGACATTGCTCATTCTCACCTCCTTTTTCCTTAGGGAGAGTCTGATTCCAAAGTCTCTGCATTCCAGATCCTGTTAGAACTTCCCTGTCCTGCCTCTCTTGCTCATCTCTTTGTGGAGGTTTTTCAGGGGAATTTCCTTTTTCCTGGGGACTCCCTTGATTCGATTCCAGCAGTGCACATGTGTTTGGATGGGACTTTCCCTGGGATTTCTTGTGTTTTCTTGCTATTTTTTTTCATTTTTTTCAGGTTGAAAACTGTTGTCTTACATAATATTTCAGTAAAAAACAGGAATCCTTTTTCTTACCAGCTTCCAGCTGTTGGCAGGTGCATCCTCCTGCTTTCCTGCACTCAATCCCTCGAGTGAAGGAATATTTTCCCAGTTTGAAGTAACACACAGATGGGCATTCCCCTGTTGCTTAACAGGCATTTGAAACTGGACAAAGGAGCAGAAAAAACACTTTCTGTTTTGTTGTCTTTAGGAAATACCCAGCATCACCAAGAGGGTTCACAAGATTATCTAATTTAGACCTTTTCCATGCCTAAAGTTCATGGTTCCTGTTCAAGTTTTATGTAATCTGAAGTAAAAGGGAGGGATTGTTTCAGTGGATCTCTTTGGATTTTTTTTTTATCTTCTGCAGAATGTTGCAGCCATAGAAACAAAACAGAACAAAGAAGATTTTCTGTCTTTTTGGGCTTTATCCAACTGTAGTTACCCTGTGCTTGTGAACTTCTGCCCTGAAGTACTTCCGTTCTGAAATGGTTCTTTTATCACCTTCCTTAATATTACCTTTTATTTTCCAATCTCCTTGCTCTTGGAAGAATCCCATTTTGACATTTATTTTCCTTATTTACACATTTTCTTTGAGGAACTGCTGAGAAAGCACAGAGCCAAACATTTGTGGGTTCAAGGGCCTTAGTTCTGTGTGGAAGAACACGAGGACAACTTGCTTTTATTAATTATCCAAATATTACCCTGTGGATATTTGCAGTTGGATAGTTAGCAAATAATAATGAGTGACCAGTAATCCACATTTTCTTAGATGTTTGTCTGCCCAGCCATTAAAATAATCCAATAATTAGGCCTAAGTGAAAGATTTTTTTTTTGGTAAATTATATGGTATGTGCTCTCCTCTGGAGGTTCTAGGAAGATTTAATTATGGAATATTTGACTCCCCACATCTCTTGCCTGCACAATTAGAGAGAAATGGCAAAATACTTTGGATTTTGATTGGGCACTGCTGTGGCAAAATGCTCCATCCAGCTGCAGAGTTTATTTCTGTTTTTGAAGACTCATTTGTTTGATGTGGGAAGGGGAGAACCAGCGTGTGCCTCTTTTTCTTTGCAGGAGATGGTAACCCCCGATCCTTTTGGGACAGAGGAGGAGAACATGCAAAAACTTAAGGAAGAACTGAAGGCATGGAAGGCAAGTTCTGTAAAACACATGGAATGGTGGTAATTAGCTCAAAGATAAAGACTTTTAATCCCTCCTTATAAAACCAAATCAACCCCCCCCCCTTGGTTATAACATGTTTAAGGTGTTCTCTGTTTTTCTTTCAATGCTTGTGTTGATCTCAGTGGTAACTACTCTTGTAAGCCTAATATTTACCCAAAGTGTTAAAAATAAATAAACACAAAGGGCTCGCTCAAGGTTTTGTTTGTTCCCATAAAGGACAGAAAAAAAAAAAATTAAAATCTTTTTTCTTCTTGCTACCCAGGAAAGAGTTGTGGAAGCTGAAAATCTAAAAGCTGACCTTCTTTTCTCCAATGCATGTGCTGAGGAAGAGTGTGCTAATGCCCAGGAGGAGCTGATGAAGCTGAAAGGCTTGCAGGAGAATGATCAGGACAGTACTGTATATAGGGACACCCTTGAGGTATGGAAAAGGCTGTTAGGATTTTGAGGGCTTGTGAAGGAGCTGTTGATTAGAGAAAAGAGGAGTAATATTTTCTTTCCAGCTTAAATGGCTTTGCCAGTTTGTGGAATGCACAACTAGAATGTTCTCCACATTTTTTCCCCACGCATTAGCTTTTTCACTGGTAGGTTAAAAACCAGTGCAACAAAATAGAGTCTATCTTGTGTGGGTGAGAAGTGACAAAACCAGTCTTCCTCTTCCAAGATTCTCCACTTTGAGCTTCAGTTCTGTGTGGTGTGGATAAAATGGAATGAGTTGATTCCACTGCTCTCTGTTTTATAAGAGGTTACAGCACCCAAGGGATCAGCATTTCTTAAGTGACAGTGAGCTGGGCAAGACCAGCACCTGTTTGAGGGGGGTTTTTCTTCCTTGAACTAGTTGTTTCTAGAGCTAATTGGTTCATTCCCTCAATATTCCATGGTGCAGGAGAAGATTCCATAGAGGAGGTGATTTTGGGGAGGTTTGGTTTGACCTGTAGATCACTGATAAGAAATCCAATATTACAAACTATTAAAATATAATTAATAGGTTAAGTACATTCAGGTCAACATGACCTGAAAGTTGGGTTTGGTTCTTTCATCTCTTAAATCTCAAATGTTTGGATTTTATACCCAGAAAAGGTCGTTCTCATCATCTGGCTTTTGTTTTAACTTGTCTTCAGCTGGTGGGAACTGCTCTGGATGTCTCCAGTGGTTGATGACTTTAAAGGAGCCACCTTCTAATTGGGGATGGCTGGAGCTGACAACATCTGCTGTGTTTCCTTCTCATTCTGTCGTGTTCCCTGTCCAGGAATTCCTGGATTTAGTTCCAGGGGCTTTGTGCCTGGTGTGGTGTGGAGGAAGGAGAGGTCATCCCTCTTCCTTGCTGAAGAACATAAAGAGGGAAGAGCAGCAGCATGTCAGAAGCTGTCCAGATTTTGCTGAACTCTATTTTTGCCTTTATTTCTGTGTTTGATTTTGCATTTCCTACTTTTTGGGCTGCAGGACCAATTCCATCAGCTGTACAGAGAAAACACTGAGCTGAAGAAAGACATTGAAAAGCTCAACAAAGAACTTGAAGAACTAATTTCAGTGCAGGCACGGAGCACTCAGGTAAAACTGGAAATATTTTTACATTCATCTTTTAGAAGGGCAAATTTTTATTTTCACAGAATCATGGAATGGTTTGGGTCAGAAGTGACCTTAAAGCTCATCTCATTCCATCCCCAGGGACATGAGGATGGAGGAAAAGGAATAAGTCATTGTATGACTGAATAAGTCATTATATGACTGAAATGTATAAATACATTTGCCATTATATGGCAAATATAGCATTTATTTTAGCTTTTATTGACCTTGACTTGATTACAGTCTCTCTCATATTACATAAATACATCTCGTATTACGTGATTACATCTCATATTACATAAATTACACCTCTCATCAATAACTCAGTTTGCAGCCAGATAAATATTTGTGATGCTGCTGAGTAGATTTAAACTCAGTGTCTTGTGGTGAAGCTGCTTCAGACCCTGGAGAATTCCGAAACTGGAATTTCTCTCATGGAAATTCCAGCTTTTAAAAACCCGTTTTCATCCCGAATTGGAGGAAATAAAATTATTTGGGGGAATTTACAGTAAAATGAAAACTCTGATCATTTGTTAACAATATTACACTATTAGGTTTTAGCTTTCTAAATTACAGTTCTAAGTTTAAGAGATGTCAGTTAAGTCCAGCCTCCTAAATTCGCTGTGGAGTCATTGGACAGGACAAAGCTCCTCTGGAAGGAGATTCAGTGGGACCAGGCACCTATTCCCAGTGCTGGAATTATCTTTAGGAAGAGTGTCTCCCTTTCCCTTGGCAATGGAGGGAAGGGAAAGAAGCAGGTTCATAGATAAGATGGGTTTGGAGATAATTGCCAGGAATGCTTTAATTATTCTGGTTATTTTATCCTGACACAACCAGTATTTTTCTTCTACACAGGGTTTTATTTTGAAATAATGACATAAAGGGGAAAAAAAAATAATGTGAAACTCCCTCAAGTCCATCAGAGCAGCCTTTTCTAACCAACATTTTCAGGAACAATTTATCCCCTCCTAGTTGTAAAATATTTCTGTATTCTTACCTATTTTGTCAAGATGGCAACACAAAAGGCTGTTTATTAGCAAATGGCCTAGAATTATGGAATCCCAGACTGGTTTGGGCTGGAAGGGACCTTAAAGCTCCTCTCATTCCAACTCCCTGTGCTGAGCAGGAAACCTTCCAGGAGACCAGCTCTCCCATTGCTGTAGAGCAGTGATGCAACTGGGCAAAAAGAAATGGCAACACCAGGACTCTGATACTTGTATTTTACATCTTTTAAATACCCCAAGGATTCTGCTTCTGCAGGTGGGAATCCCTGTGCACTGCAAAGGAATTTTCGTTGTGTAAAGTCAATTTTAAGTTCAGAGTTAATAAAAGGGAAAAAACCCCACCCAACTGACAAAAATAAAAAAAAACCCAACAAAATATATGTAGCATTTCAAGGAAGAATTACCATTCTTCTTCTGTTCTGCAGTGAGCTACAGAAATTATTCTATTCCCTCTCTCTATTCTGACATTTTAGCTTCAGAAAAAGGTGGCAGGAATGAAACTGAAGTTCAGCCACATGGAAGGCATGAACAATTGTTCAGATATGGACACTCACTGTGTTTTTAATGCAAATGTAAAGATCCCCTTCAGGCTGAACCAGAACCAGGCACTGCTGACTTTTGAAGATGAAGAAGGTATGATGCACATTTTTAATTAGAAAAGTCAATGTTTCTGGTGTATTTCACCTGGCAGTGATGTGGTTTTCATCCAGGGATATTTGGAATGAAAGGGGAGAAGTCCAGTATTAATATTTTACACAGAAAGAGCATCTTTTCACAGCACAAAAGTTTTACTATTCTATACCCCTCACAATATATTTTATATATATTATATTATTTATATCTGTTATCATATATTTATTATTGTTTGCATTATTTCTTGTTCATTATTATGAATACATTATAATTAATTATAATTAATATTCTATATAATATAGTTAATTATAATTAATACATTGTAATATTTTGCCTGTAACCAGGGAGACTTTTTGGAAGATATGGATAGTGGGATCTGGTTGCCTAATTGTTATTTATTTCTTCTTTATTGATGCAAAAGGACATTTTGCTTAAGAGACTGGGGAATAGTTTTGGTTTTACAATGGTTGAACAGGGCTTTTCATATCTGATTTTCCTTAGTTGCCCAGAGACTGATAAAAAGGGGGAAGCACACGGTGAACCTGGACAACAACAAAGTAGATGTGAGAGTGTTGCCTGTTCCACTTGACATGGGAGTCAAATTTGAGGTAAACAAGTGAAATATGAAGCTACAAAAATAGGAGTTCTTAGAAACCTTTGGGTTTGCTTTTTTTTTCAGCGTTTTCAGTCACAAAGTGCACCGAAAATTTATATTTTTAGCTCCACGTCACTGTTTCTGGAAGGAAGATCAACGTTTCAAACATACCTGAGCTGCCCATTCCTGAGGATTGGATGAGAGACAAATTAGAGCTGAATTTCTACAAAACTCAAAAGGGAGGAGGAGGAGAAATAGAAAATGTGACCTATGACAATGAGTCTAGAAGAGCTGTGATTACATTCCTCAGACCTGGAGGTAGAGTATGGAATATTTTGGTACCCCTTTTTTGATCCAACATAACCTGATCACACTTCATGAGCTTGATTTCTTTCATAACTTTGTCAAAACCCTGGTTTTTGTTTGGCACTGCCAGACACTCGGATTGCAGAAAGAAAACGAGGAGAATGTGTTTGATTTTGGCTCTTGTTTCACAACAGAGAAGTTAGGCAGGCATTCCCATTGCCCAATTCTGTGAAGATCAGTGGAGCCACATCCACTCAGAGCAGCTGCTTTAGATTTATTTCAGAAGCTTTTGTGGGTATTTCATGAATTTGCCTTTTTTTTTTTTTTTTTGGGGGGGGAAGTGCCAAATAAACTTTTTGCACAATGCACATGAAGAACCTACAAGTGTGAGCTGGACTTGATGATCCTCGTGGGTCCCTTCCAACTCAGCACATTCCATGATTTTATGATGTATTAGTTTCTACATCCATGTAATAAAGATGAGTCCGTTCTTTGAGATGCTTATAAAACACAGTTTAAATTACATTACTCTTACCCTTCTTTTTCTCATTCTCCATTTCAGCCAGCAACAGCTTTTGGGGATCTCCTAAATACCCTTTCTCTGCAAATGGAAAGTGCTACACGGTTTTTGTTTCCTCACATGCCAACCTACGCTTGAAAAACTTTCAGGTAAAATAATCTGGTCCTGGCAAACAGAACAGACAGGTGGGAAAGAGGAGCTGTGGGCAGAATCTTCAGTCCTGAGCCCTGCAGGGGCTTTTGTGTCATGGCCTTTGTGCAACTTAATAGCAAGTGTGAGTCTGCAGCAGGCCCATAATCTCATGTTTTGCAGTGGGAGAGCTGTAATTTATTTGTGAAGGGCGTGCATGTCTTGCCTTGATTAAATTGTATCAGAACTCACCATAATGCCTGTGCTGGATGGCAGGAAGGTGGTTGGGAAGGAGGTTAATCATGGACACAGTGTTTTCCAAGCCTCAAAGCCCTGTCACACTGCTCTCTAAGGAGAGTCTCAGCAGAAAAAGATTTGCTCCTTCATTCATTTCATTCACTCTTTCAGCCCAAACACTGACTCCTCTCCCTGTAACACAGAGCTTATCATCATATTCCCATGGAATGCTCATCCTGTTCTCACTGAAATTGCCTCTTGCTTTATGAACAGATGGTAATCCAGTCAGTGTTGTGTATGTAATTGTGGATACAATCAGCCCTTTGTAATTAAAGCATGGGCTGGAGTGTGTGTGTGCAGGAGACGCGGCAGCTTTGCAGGTGTGGAGCATGTCCTGGCAGGGGTTTTTATGGGGTGATGCTCTGGAGTCATCAGAGATCCCCAAATCCAGGGTGTGGGTGTGTTAAGGAGGGTAGGACACACCAGTTAAGGAGTCTGGATTCACTGAACTCAGTAGAATCCTGGAATATCCTGAGTGGGGAAAGACCCCCAAGGCTCATCAGTCCCACTGCTGGCCCTGCCCAGACACCCCAACAATCCCACCCTGTCCCTGAGAGCTCCAAACAGGGAAAGTCTCCCCTCAGTCTCCTCCAGGATGAACCAACCAAGTGCCCTCAGCCACTCCTCATATGGCCCCTCCAGACCCTTCAGAGCAGTGTATGGTGGAGTTCAGAATTCCTGCTATTTCCAGTGCCAGGAACACACCCCACTATCCAAAACCTTAACTAACCAAAGATCCCAGCCATGCCTGCTCAGGGGGTTGAAGTCCCAGACCTGCCAGTCCCTGCTGTGTGATCCCAGCATGTTTTCCTTTCCTCCACAGACATACTGTGGGGTTTCTAAGAAGACCATCCTGCTGAAAGGAATCCAAGAGGTGGAAGAGGATGAGGAAAGTATCCAGGACATGATCGAAATCCACTTCCAAAAGCCGAGTAACGGCGGTGGGGAAATAGAGAACATCAAATATGTCTCAAAGGGAGCAGCATATGTTTGCTTTGAGGAGGATACTGGGAATGCCAGCTAGGAACTCAGAGTGAACTCCTCAAATTCTGAGGTTTTGCTGCATCAGAGGCATGGGAACTGTGATTTTATGTTTGAAATTTATCCTTGTGAAAGAGGAATTACTGCCTTTCTGATTCGTGCAATGGCACAGGCTCTGCATGGAAATGCAGCAAAACTCACTGCTTGGGCTTCCAGATGAAAGACATAGAGAAAGCCTTTATCACATTTGAAACATCATCTAAGATTTAATGCAAAGTTGCAAATTTTGTATCTTGTAAATTTTATATAGTTCACATACTCCAAAGTGGGATAAATATATAATTTCCTACATTTTGGATCCAAAAGCCCTGTGTAATCCCAATCCAAAGCCTGGAACTGACCTGCTTTGTTGAAGTGCCAGATCTTCAGAAGGTGGCTCTGACACAACTCCAGTCCTGCTGAGGTTGCTGAAGGCCACCAGAACTCAAATACCTGAAAGAAATCCTGTAATTTCATCAAATCCAATTTATCCAATTAGTAATGGAATTAAAATAGAAAAAAAGGGAAAGGGGCAGTGCAGAAACATCAGTTCCACTCAGGGAATTGCACTTAAAAAGGAATACCCTGGCAGGAATGCTGCCTTTAGCTGCTGAGCTTCTACTAATTCACAAGCTGCTTTATTGTTTGGGTTAAATATTTGTTTCTACAATTAAATTTTTCCTCATTTTTGTCCATGTTTTTTAAACTATTACAGCCCAGGATCGAGCTGATGCTTTATCTAAACCAGGCTGGTTTTGTAACAACCCTGGGGAAACAGCCTGAGGGATCTGGTGACTCCCAGGCTCTGGGAGGGTGTGTAGAGAGGGAACAGGGAAATGCAGAGTCAGAGGAGGATTTGTTTTCCAAGGAAAAATGCTTTTCCTTTTCTTCTGTCATCCTTGGAAAAATAAATCCTCCTCTGACTTTGCATTTCCTTATCTTTTGCTGAAATGCTTTGGCCACAATGACCTTAATTTCAAAGTAACTTGAGTCTAACACTGAAAATAACTTATTTTCAGGGTATTTGACATGTTGGTGCAGGAAATGGACAGTGCACCAAGCTCTCAAAAAATACCTCAGGGATTATTATTCCAGAGAAATTTAGCTGGCAAGAGACTGAGTTGAACAAGGGAAACTAAAAGCCTGCAAGCAGCAGTTTATTTTGAATTTACTACTGAGTGAGATACATGTGACTGTAGCACCTCTTGCTGTTTAGTGCATGCAAAGGCATGGATTGATTACCTGACCATTGGGAAGTAATAATAAGAATAATTAAAAAGAAGAGTAGTACTGAAGTATTTATGGAGATTATGTGCTTCTGCACACTTTAAAAACTTGGTAAAATCAGACACCCTGAAAAGAAAGGGGGAAAAACCTGAAGAAGGCAAAAAATGTCATGAATTTTAACTGTGCCTCATTGTTAAATACTGAGGACTAAATCCTTAAAAAAGGAGAAAGTGTAAAATTCTCATAAGGTGTCCCAGTGTGCAGAGCAGTGAGAAGCTGCAGGTTTTAAGTACCTAAAGTCAAGATTACATTTTAAGTAACATTTTAAGGCAATGAGTGTAAATGTCTTGCTGATGAATTCTCTCTGATGAATTACGGTTTATGGTGATGATTACACAGTTAATTTTAAAGCAGTGGTGCCACACGAAGGCTGGAGACTGCTTTTAATGGTGAAAAATAAGAATACAGTGTCAGTGGCACGTGTGCCTTGATATATGTGTGCTTTGACATATGTCTGGCTGTGCCATGTGTGTGCCATGCCGTGTGTGTGCTGACATGTGTGTGCTTTGACATGTGTGTGCTTTACCACGTGTGTGCTGTGCCATATGTGTGCTTTGGAATATGTGTGCTTTGCCATGTGTGTGCTGCCACGTGTGTTCATAGAATCACAGAACCAGCTGGGTTGGAAGGGACCTCTGAGATCATCAAGTCCAACCCTTGATCCAACCCCGCTGTGGTTCCCAGCCCATGGCACTGATGCCACATCTTAAAAACTTCCAGGGACAGAGAATCCCCCACTTCCCTGGGCAGCCCATTCCAATGGCTGAGCACCCTCTCTGCAAAGAAATTCTTCCTAATCTCCAACCTAAACCTCCCCTGGCACAGCT